GCGATAAAAAATCAACAGGTTTCCGGACCAGAGCCTTCCACGACCAGGCTGCAGCTTTCTACCGGGCAACCAGAGATCTTCAAGGCCGCCAAAGACCAAAGTGCGTGCAACACCGCATCAGCCAGGTCCGCTGGATGATTGCAACCTCCAAATACCGAACTAAACGCTTCATCTCGGTGCATCTTGCTCATGCTCATCCAGAGCAAATTCAAGTGTCAGGCATACAAGCAGAAACGCCTCGGTAAAACCATCGATAACGGGGGAGCCCATGGTTTGGCCAACACCACGACATCCCATAACGAGCATGATGAGCCCTGACCCAGGACCCGGTCCGGAGCCGGTCCTGGCAGCGGCACCGGTCGCTGACCCGTGACGTCACCAGCTGCTGGGGTCACCGGCCGGGCCAGACCCGAGCACGCACGGCGACACGGATACCGGGCGGACGCCTGGCGTATACGGGATGGCAGGTTTCTGGTCAGGCCTCATCTCGACAACGGCTTGGGCACATCAACCATGACTGTGACCTGCGACATTGCTGTTTTATTACTAGTACTTCCACAGCAGTGGCTTTACATACCACGTCGCCGTTGTCACTTGGGCTCCACGATGCACTCGCTGCTGAGGCCAAATGGCGTCGCCTGCCTCTCTCCCCTGGCAGCAAAGGCGGGCACCGCGGGAATCGGACCCCGTACCTCTGGTTTCCCAGACGCACAGTGGTTAACACAGACGCGTTAACCACTGCACTACCGGCATCCCCTTACATGTTACGCTGCCATGATACATCTCATGTAATGCTAGATGATGCATTTCATATCATGTTATCGTGATATTTTACAGGATATCATATTCACTAGCTATATTACAGCATAGCTACATTTCATATTATATTGCCTTGGCTGATGTGTTATTATTTGTTACTATTACTGGCTATTGCAGTAATATACTGTAAATACTATAAAATTACACTGGTTACTGCATTTACAGGTAATGACTATTGCAATAATAAATTGTAATTACTATGACATGACACTGGTGGCGCCCCCGCTCCGGCTCGGATCCCGAGACTTCCGGTCGGCCAGCCAATGGCATACGCCTCCCCCGCCACGGCGTCCCCAGAACAGGCCGGCGCGCGCTGCTACCGAGGCGTTGTGAAACCTCGCTGCCGGCCGCTTGCCGTACCATGTGGTGGTATCGAGGGAACGGGGACCGGCCGGCATTCGAACCCCGCTCCCGGCCCGGGACAGTGAAGGTCAGCGTGCAAGCCGTACGGGAGAGCTCTTCACAGACTGAATTTTGAGGATTATTTATAATGAATTACGCAACAACGATAAGAAAAATGATAATTGCAGTAATAGGAATAACAATAACAATAATGGTAGCAATAACAATAAGAATAGTAATAACAATGGCAATAGTAATAACGATAACAGCAATAACAATAACAATAGTAATAGTAAGAATAGTAATGATAGTAACAACAATAACAATAATAATAATACCGATTATTATCATCTTTGATATATTTATTATCGACAAGTTTTATATCCACGCGATTAACACATCCATCCTGCTTGCAAATATTATATTCGATCCGATCTGACTCATCACGGCACACACTGCTCGAGGATGATCCGCACCTGCGTCCCATGCTTTCATTCAGTCAAATATTATAAGTTAAATGTGCCGCATGCGGCACATTTACGACTTCTTTACTTGATAACAGACCATCCAGTCCACTTAAGATGACTAGCATTAAAGTCACCAATGCAACCCGATCCATATTCGTATTGCTAGAGATTTCACGATTCAGTGTCGTCCAATCCATCATGCCATTCAAAATTTGTTGGTTTCGCCAATACCCCGTGACGAGCGAAATGATACATCAGAGTCGCCGAAGCGACGCTGCGTACAGGAACAGAGTTAAGAGAGCGCTACGTTCCATTCAGGAGGTAACTGTCGAGAGAGCAGCCAGGCGGCCGCCTACTGGTTTACGTCATGAACGCTCGCCCCTTCACGAAAACCAACCCATTCACCACAAGTGTTATGCAACCTATTGCAGTGATGTAGAACAGCCTACCGCATAACCCTGGCCGTGGAGGGCACGAGCACCCAAGGAAAGTTGTATAACTCCCGACGACATGGCCGAAGGTGAAATCGATCTGGCCATGCAAAGCGAGGGTGGTCATCCGTGTGAGGGAAATGCACCGAGGCCAGGTTCATACACGTTGAGGCGCTGAGAGCACGTGGGGATCGCAAGGCAATGTGACGAACGCGACCTGACGCCCCCTCGGGGTAAAGCTCGTACTGTCAGAGACGGCCCCGGTGTCGGGGTGGTTTGAAGCAGCAACGTCACACCAGGAGTTGGCAGCTCGGTCCAATACCCGAAGGCTGCAGCGCCTTTCATTTACATCCATCGTTGTATGTATAATTTCTTTAAAAGCGAAGGGCAAAACCCCAAGTTCTTCTCCCAGTACCAAGAACTCAGCCAAAACTGTTCAAAAACACATTGCACACCTATGCAATGACAAAACACGCGGCAAAAACCACCCACGCCCTCGATGTGCAGCCCTGCTCCGGCCTCAAATAGTGCAAGCCAGCCTTCGTAAGCAGCCCCCGCCAAGGTCGCAGACGGCCCCGAGACGGCAACGATCACCGTGACTGGGACCGCGCGGTCGCCGAGAAGGGCGTCTGGTCAGTGAGCGTGACGCTGTGTTTACGCGATGCAGGCGGGCCGCTCCGTTCATGACGGCGCTAGGTGCTAGTGGAGGGCGTCTGGCGCTGGCGTGTGGACCCGGTGAACTTACCGGCCACGAACTCTGCACGGTGAGACGCTTAACAGCCGGAGACATTGAGATCGATGCACGGCTGTTGAAAGTTTGAAATTGGCTGGCGTGAAACGCAAACGCAGGCCATTTCATCTCCCGCGATTATGCTGCCCGCCCGAGACGCTACGGCTAGCCCGTGGCCAATGCTCACTACAAAATATTGTTCGACACGGCGCTTGCCAAAAAGAGGAAGAAGAAAGCATGCACGAAGAAGTACGTGAGATGGTGAGGGCTAACCAAGGTGGGAAATGGACGAAGTACTTGACCAGGTACTTAACTATCACTCAATGAACTGAAAACGCCAAAATGAGGCACAAGTCATTGGAAAGGTGCTAGAATGCACAGGGCTACTTCAAGATTTCCAAAAATGAACGCAGAAAATCGGTCACAAATAGGCCACCCGCAGCGTACGTGAGTTTGGCCACCATCATGTGGTTTACCTCCGATACACGGAGCGTTTCGGGAGTTTAGGAGACAGCGCGAGCAAGGAAAGAAGGGCGGAGCTCCATCGCTGAGTATGGTCACAAGCAGATCGCTATTGCGTTTCCCAGTTTGCTGAAACACCCTAGGAATGCGTGTGTCCCGTTGAGTTCAAACTGACATGCCAAATTCAGAATTATCTTCGTTTCTGACGGTGATTCGCAACAAAAACACATGACCGCGTAATTGTAACTGACTTGTATACAACTACTGGTAGCTTTTCCATATCCGGCAATGTGCTTAGTAACAGGATCTACACTTTCTCCAAATACCCAGTGTATCTCATACGATGGAGGACGGCAGGGCGGGTGATTGCGCCAACGTGGATCCCAATCGACGCCTGTCGGCGGACCAAAGGGTCGGAACTGTCGGAACAGACGGTGGACTGCGCGACAGTGGACAGACAATGAAAATACAACGGATTTGATGCTGTTCTTGTCACTGGGGCTTTTGACACACCCAGCTGCTGAGGCTGCATGGCGTCGCCTGCCTCTCGCCCTGGCAGGAAGGACGGGCACCGCGGGGAATCGAACCCCGTACCAGACGCGGTAGCCACTATGCTATTGCACCCCAACAGACGGTGGACCGGGTGACGTCACATGGCTAGACAGAAGATGTGACAAGTCACGCTGATGCGCTGCGAGCAGTCGGGCTGAGCGCGATAACGTGTTCTACACGCAACTCAGCACGAAATGATGCAACTCAGCCAACGTTCATGTTTCTAGGCGTGGCCGGCTTGTGCTCAGCGCCCCGACACCTATCGGCCGGCGGCGAAGCTTTAGTGTAGGTGGCGCGGGAGAGCAGCACAATCCGACAGAAGCGACGCCGTGAGGAGTCTCGCACAACTGAGTCGGCATCGACCGCTTCAAGGCACATCGTGGCTTTTTGTGGATCGCAAACCATCGCCCGGCCAAACATTTGATATCGATCGCGGGGACGTGCAGACGCCGAGAAACGAGTAACGACGCCGTGGGAGGCGATGCGGGGAATCAATATCGAATCGGAATCGACAACCGTCAGCCGTCGTTTCCCAGCAGCGCTCCTGGGAGCTAATACCAGCTTTTACACCAGAAAATAGCCAAGGCATGCCTAGAAATGCGCCTGCCCGATGTCATGCACATGAACCACAGAGAGCAAACTGCTTTTAGGCCTACGCTGTACCAGAAATGATAGTTTCCTTTGATGGAGGCAACTGCCACCTCCAACTGGAATTATTTTAGCATTTCCAGGATGTCAGCACACTGAGAGGAGGAAACACAAAGGCATGCAGGCACATAGCTATGGTTTTTGTTTGAGGGAGAATATCAACTTTTCTCTAAAATTCACAAAGTTTAGACCAAACTCTTGCAAAACCACCCAGTATCTAGTGTAAAGTTTTTGGCTTCTGGGAAGTGGTTCTGTCTCCTTCACCCTCCATTTCAATTTGTCCATGACAGTACAGATTATGACATTGTGAGCTGTTTTGAAAGAGCTGGTAAATATCTCCCAGAACATGCCATATTTTAGAGGCCAAACAAATACATCTTGATACCAACCACTGTTGTGGAGAGTACAGTAAACATCTCTGATGAAGTCCCACATGTGTTAAGAAATTATATACTTATTACAGATTAGATAAACATGATGTTTATCCATGCAGTGAATACATGTTTGTGATGCCTTTTTACAGGATCTCCAGCACAGTAATGGCCTTACCTGAACAACTTTGGTCTTTTTCCTGCCTGGTTCTAGATCTCCTGCAGCAGCACCATCTGCCTCTTCTTGAGGCATGCTGACTTCTAGACCAGTCTCTGGATGGAGGCTGAAATCAGTGTCAAGGATTTCAATAAATTTCACCAAGCTGAGTATAAAAACAAACCAAAAAAACTGTCATGGAAGTGACACGCCTACATGCAAACCAGATATTGAAGCGACTTGTGCACCATTGGGACCTCACAACTGTGCACCATTGGTGCACCATTGGGACCTCACAACACACTCGTCTGCTGGGGCTGCATGATTCCACCTACCTCTCACCCTGGCAGGAAGGGTGGGTACCACTGTGATTCAGGCAGTGCACCTGTGGTTTCCATGCATGAGACATGCAGCTTAACAATCACACTGGCAGTGCCAAATGGGAGTGATTCATGGGTAATGATAGTTATCAGTTTAGATAGATAGTATAGATAGCTAATAGATAGCTAAAGTAAATATTTGTCAAACAATGTTTTCATAGGCAAAACATGCAGTGAGGCGGGTAAGGAACCATCTGCCTTGTGATCATCACAGTGAACCTTGCCTAGTCATGTGACCCCAGACTACTTGAGCCTCCAATGAGTGAGACAATCCATACCCACAAGAAACTTTAATTCTAAATCCATGCCTTCCTCCAGGCAGAGTAAAACTTCAAGAACCCCGGGTGTCCCTAACTCGACTGAGCAATTTAACAGACTAAGCTGAATGATTGCACACATTACAAGATGATTGGAGATGCAAGCATGCTGAGAAGCAGGGCTTTAAGAGCTAGGACTATCAACAAATTAACCAACTTATGTGAAGGATAAAATTCTCTTCACTGTCAGCTCACTACCACCCACCTTTGTCCGACCCGCCCTTCAGTTCAATGAACTGTCACCATGACCCTACAAACACTATCTCACTAATCCTCATCCTCCCTTCTGACCAATATCATACCATCTCGCTTTACATCTCCCGTTCCGTACTCCCACCCTTGCTTCGCCGCGATCCCACATACCTCGGATCAGCTGTTTCCGCCTCGCTCGCTCACCGGCTTCCTATTTCCCAAGCAGAACTCATCCAAACGATTTTCGGACGGTACATACAGCCACATAGCGCTCTCGGCAAAGGCCACTAGTCGTCTCATTTGCGCATTTTCTGTAAAGCAATTATTGATACCAAATTATGACGTGCAGCATCGTCCAGAAAACTATCTGACTCCGTAAATCATGGCACGCCGTGAAATGCTCCGTCGGTAGCACGAAGCTAACCGGAGGAAGAATAACTGCTGACTGATCGTCGCCTGGCATGTAAATTGATACAGCTATTTCGGTGGGGGGGGGGGGGGGGCGCAGGGGAAGACGTTTGCCTTATGCCTATCAGCCTATATCATATTCCTAAGTCATCCTTGGCCCTACTATCCTATGCTACCTCCCAAAGCTGTTTTCGTTTCGGATTTTGGACACATTTACTTTGTCTTTGAAAATGTAAACATGCTTAACAAACATCGGTTTTGTTTGCATTGCGAGCCCTGTTTGTGACTATGGGGTAAAGGGACGGAACTTCCAGTCACGTCGGTGATGAGCTCAGAGATGAAAGTGAAGGAAACCGAGTCGTCCCACATGAACACGATCCTACATCAAGGGCCGACATCATTTAAAAACAAAACATGCAGTTTTGTGACAACCCTTCTGTAAAGCAACAACCACGCCATCATGTCTGTCCTAAATCGTCCAACGACCGTGAGAGGCGTCCTGCGAGATGACGCTGGCAACTCTGTGGTCGGAAGCAGCATTCACGAAATGATATATTCTCACAGCGCGAGCGCGATCACTGCCTTTGACCACCCAAGGCGCGGCTGGAAGGCGTTAAGGCCGCGGAACCTTTCATCGCACAGCTCGGGTAAGATTTTCAGCAACGAACCAGGCGCGTCGCACGCGCCATGTCCATCTGACATACCTGGAAATTGAATTCCTTTTCCGGGTAGCTACATGAGATACGATACTGTGCGCTAGCACTCGTTTTCGGTTTTTCCACGCCAGACAGAAACACATGAAAGTGATAGTGGCAATGATCCGGGTTTTAGGGCGCACAGGCCGCGTTGGTCATACTGCCCCCCCCCCCCCCCCAAAAAGAACATGATAGATCAGGATGGATGACTGTATTCATTGCGCTGTCGACTCCACGTGATTTCACAAAGCTCTCTTCGCCTGTATCACAGCTGTATCCCCAGGCACATCCCAACTGGCCGATGCGGAAGCTGTGCTGGGTCGCTTCGACCCCCCCCCCCCCCTGGCATCGCCAGCACTCACCAATCAGCGGCGACGCTGCCGAGCTCACGCCGCCGTGTCTTATTGATCGTGACCGTGAGCGGTGATCGCCCAAACACCGTAGGCGAGGGAACGACCTCATCCCGGGGCCGGCATCCTGGTCAAGGTCACACGCACGAGAGCATAGCCATGTGTCGGGCGAATTTGCAGCAGAGTTTAGGCCTTGGAGACACTGTACGAAGATAGCGGATGGTGTACCATCGTGAAGGCTTCTACAGCACGCGTAATCGATGGAATCTGAAGATGTGCCGCATGTACAGCCCCTCTTTCCTCACCCTCACTCTGCTCTTGTCTTCCCCCCCCCCCCACCAAATCTGCCCGAGGCAAGCGACACACATCAGTACTGCCCCCCTCCCCCCCCCCCGCTAGCGGGGGCCCTATCAGTCACCGAACAAGCCCCGAAGAGGCCCCAGTGCGAGTCGGGCCTCTCTCGCGGAGGACCCACAGACGCATGTGGTCTGCCCTGACGATGTTCACTCCCACGCACCCTGCGGCCCTGGAGTGGTCAACATTGGACTAAAGGACTCGAAACAGCCCCAATCCAGACCGCCAAAAACCGAACCAAACGTGCCGGCTGAACACGACTCACGCCGTCGCTGACGTTCAGCACACGTTCCGGCATAGGACCTCGCAACGCTCCACCCTCGGTTCATTTTCACCCCTCTCTGGCCCGTCCTCAGCGTGGCGCCCATTCGCCCCTCCGCGCAATCGGCAATCTCGGGGTGCTGTCATTGACGTGCCTGTCTACGCCCGTAGAAAAGCGACACTTTGTTCGGGCCAGTGCACCTAGCCATTTCCCAATTTGACTCGATTAATCATGGCCAGTTGGGTCACTTTTGACTACAACTTAGCATGCCGCCCCTACCACACGTTCAATACTATCAATATGTACATCACTCCGATGCCTTAATCATTTCGCTTCGCGCCAAAGCTACAAGGTAAAACGTCGAAACCAAGAATTTCAGGCAATGATTACGGATGGCATGCGGTTGGTGCTCCCACAATAGGCAATGAACTAAATGAAATAAACGCACTGATGAGACAGACAACTGATACAGTGAGCTTGACCTAGTACAGCATATACTTACATACATACACACACATATATACATATATATATATATATATATATATATATATATATATATATATATATATATATATATATGTATGTATGTATGTATATGCACTGAAACTATAACCCTCAATCATGCAATCACCCAGCATTGACACAAGGCTCCAAAAGCGAGTCAGCCCACTAGGACACGATAACTGTGTACGTTCTACACAACTAATAACACACCGCCTGGCACGACAGCGGATGGAGACGCCGGCCACAGCACCTGTCCAGAGCACACGCCTCCCCGCCCCCCCCCCCCCCCTTCCACCCAGTCCAGTCATCGGCAGGGTCGGCGTCCATCCTCCCACGGCGACACCACTGGTGCCGGGGCGGCGTCACCACTGATGCCGCCGGCCCAAGCCAGCGGGCCAACACCATTCCGACCTCTGGCGGCTCCGCGGCCAAACCGTGAACAACACGCCAGCCACGGTACCACCCGCCACAGACCCTCCGCACCACCGCCGGGACCACCGCCGGGACCACCGCTGGGACCACCGACCGGAGCCGGCCACCAGATGGGCCGCGGACAGGCGCGGCAGCGTCAGGCAGGGGTCGGGCCGACACCACGCCGGCGTCGCGCCGGCGCTGGCCACTAGTCGAGCATGTCGTCGACGGAGCGCAGGCCGCCCGTGTGTGACTTGGACTCCTTCATCTTGCGGATGGCGCGGTCGAAGTCGGCCTGCCCGATCGGGCGCAGCTGGGCGGGCCGGCGCCACGGCGGCGGAGACCTCCTCGAGGTCCATGCGCGCCGCGCGCGGCGGCGCCGTCCCCGGCGGGCCGACCGAGTCGGAGGCGTCCGAGAACACGTCCGCCCGCGACGCGCCGTTCATCAGGCTGGAACGACCGCGGCGAGTCATTTTTTTGCTGCTCCGAAGCGTGTCGCGGCCAGCGTGGCTGCCGCACAGCACTCTCCGCCAGCGCCACGTGGCTGGAACGTGGCGTCACGGTGCAGCGCAGAGTAAGAACACAGAGAAGACAGTGCTGCTCCGGGCGTCAGACCGTCACCGCTGACGCGGTTCGACACATTTGTGCGCCCCTGCTCCCAGCGAAGGGGATGAAGGGTGGTGAGCCGTTCGACTGTCCGACCACACCAGAGCGTGGGGGTGGAGTGTGGGAGGGGAGGGGGAAGGAGGAGAGCTTGCCAAGGTGATAGACCGCGACGACGTGAAATGAAAGACAAAGTGGAGAAGGTGCGAACGCCCAGCGGAAGAAAAGCGACAAACACTCCATGGCGACTCCTGGAGGGAGGGGACGGGTCGCCGGGTAAGGCCGCAGTGCCCGTCCCCTCACCTGTTCGGTGAGGGAGGGGCGCTGGACGAGGACAAGTCGCCGGGTAAGGCCGCGGTGCCCGCCCCCCTCACCTGTTCGAAGAACGCCCACTCATGAAGTCCCTGACGGGGTAGATGGCCGCCGTCCTGCACAGCTCCCTGATGTCAGAGCCTGCGGGAACACCCGCGGGTGATCTACTCATCCTGCACACGCCCCTGCCAGACCGTGCGGGCGCACCGGAGACCACGCTGTCATCCTGCACAGTTCCCTGACGTCCGGGCATCCTGCATGTGATCCGCCACCTTCACACATCCGTGTCACACTGTGACACTGTGTCCGTGTCACACCCGTGACCGGTGCTATCACCAGAGCGGCTGGCAAGAACCAGAGCACCACAGCCAGAAATGGAGCAAGTGAACAACGCCACGCTAATACTGACATAGCCGACAGAACACAGAGTGGTGGCTGTTCGATTACATTAGATGCTGAAGGGCTCCTACAGCACCTCCATGTTGCTCTTCAGCCGTAACGTTACCGCCAAAATCACTGCCACTTAATGCCTGTCTATGACACCAAGGCGGCCGACAATGAAGCCAAAACTCTGCAGCAATTAAGAGCGAACAGAGCCAGCCGCTGGCGAAACAGAAAATACGATATAAATCCAGAGGTGATGCTGTGTATTTTTACGCAATTAATCCACAAATAACAGTCAACTGGCAAGTTCCACCTTTGCTATAGTCCATTCATAGTTAGTCACATACAAGGCATGTTGACTTGACCCATTTAAATGCCAACGAAACACACAATATACAAAACTGATCTGTATTTTTCAGGTCTAAGTCTCACGTCAACATGCTTTTTGTGTGTCTAGGTGAGCCCGACCCTTCCGCCGTCCACATGAATGTCCCCATATCCAGGGCGCGTCTAGAGCCAATCTCCCCCAGCGCCAGCCCACAGCCGCAGCAAGCCCACTCACCGGTGAAGCCGTCGGTGAGGTTGGACAGGCGGTTGTAGTCGATGTCCTCCGACACCTTCTCACCCCGCATCACCAGCTTCAGGATGGACTTGCGCTGCTCCAGAGTCTGCGGAAGAGATCGGTGACTGCCTGGCTGCACCGCCAGGCGGACTGCGTGACGAGCGAGGATGCCGTAAGTGAAAAACGCGCTTCCACACAGGCCAGACGTGACGCACAAGCGGCCGGGCAAATGCGTACAGGATACTCATGTTTTGCCAATAAGGCAATTCAACAGAAACAGCAGGGTTCAGACCCTATGAAGGGGGCTGTGAAGACTGAGGATGGTGAGGGAACATGGACTATGGAGCCTATGAAGAACGCTTGTCCGCACTGGTCGGCATTGATTTGCCCGTAGAGGAATTTCCCTTAAGCGTCATATGCTTTAAATAATGCATAAAACTCAAACCTATGCGCCACACAGGCAGACACACATGCACACAGACAGTAGTGTGCACAAAAAACACAGATGGGCTGAGAGGATAGAGAAAGATACGACAGGTCGGACAGGACAGACACGACAGGCCAGACAGGACAAACACCGACAGGTCGGACAGGACAGACACGACAGGTCGGACAGGACAGACACGTCAGGCCAGACAGGACAGACACAACATGTCGGACAGGACAGACACGACAGGTCGGACAGACACGACAGGCCAGACAGGACAGACATGACAAGTCAGACATGACAGGATGGGACAGGACAAACACAAGCACACAGACAGACAGACAGACAGACAGATAGACAAACAAACAACCATCCATCCCACCGGCCGACGACCATTGTCAATCTGGACAGAACAACACTGGACAAGACACACACACACACACGCGCACGCGCACGCGCACGCGCACGCACACGCACACGCACACGCACACGCACACGCACACGCACACGCACACGCACACGTAGACAGAAAAACAACCATTCCACCAGTGGCCACAACGACCTCCGTTGATCCCACCAACCCCATCACACACACACACCCTGCTGCTGGACACACAACCCTGTGACGACGTCACACCAGTGACGTCATGCGGCGCGACTGACCGGCAGGCCGACGTGGAACGCGGCCGGCATGCGGCGCAGAATGGCGCGATCCACGTCCTGCGGCCGGTTGGTGGCGCCCATCACGAGCACGCATCGCGCCGGGTCCGAGATCAGGCCGTCCCACAGCGACATGAACATGGCCTTCATCATCGCCGTCGCCTCGTGGTCGTGCGTGGCGCGCGAGCGCAGGAACGAGTCTGCGGCGGGGGGGGGGGTGGGGGCGGAGGGAGTGGCGTTAGTATTGCGACATCTCGGGGTTGGTTGTGACACGCCAGCGCTGGCAGTGCCATACATGTCGTGTGTGTGTGTGTGTGTGTGTGTGTGTGTGTGTGTGTGTGTGTGTGTGTGTGTGTGTGTGTGTGTGTGTGTGTGTGTGTGTGTGTGTGTGTGTGTGTTGTGTTGTGTGTGTGTGTGCGCGCGCGCGCGCGCGTGCGTGCGTGCGTGCGTGCGTGCGTGCGTGCGTGCGTGCGCGCGTGCGTGCGTGCGTGTACGCGTGTGTGCGTGCGTGTGTGCGTGTGTGCGTGCGTGTGTGCGTGTGTGCGTGCGTGTTTGCGTGTGTGCGTGCGTGTTTGCGTGTGCGCGCGGCATTGTGTGCGTGCGCGCGTGCATGCATGTGTGCGTACATGTGTGTGTATAAGTTTGGTTTGTTTAGAAGCTAAACCCTGAAATTTTTGGCACAGGTCCAAGTATTATCAGGAGCAAAGTAACAGCGGTGTGTGGATCATCTGGTAAACGCTATTGGCATGATTACCTACAGCACCATCTAGTACCCTTCTGGCATGTTTAGATAGATAGATAGAAAGATAGATAGATAGAGGGAGAGAGAGAGAGAGAGAGATCCCTCTCCCTCTCCTCTCCTCTCCCTCTCCCTCTCCCTCTCCCTCTCCCTCTCCCTCTCCCTCTCCTCTCTCCCTCTCCCTCTCCCTCTCCCTCTCCCTCTCCCTCTCCCTCCCTCTCCCTCTCCCTCTCCCCTCCTCTCCCTCTCCCTCTCCCTCTCCCTCTCTTCCCTCTCCCTCTCCTCTTCCCTCTCCCTCTCCTCTCCTCTCCCTCTCCTCTCCCCTCTCCCTCCTCTCCCTCTCCCTCTCCTCTCCTCCCCTCCCTCTCTCTCTCTCTCTCTCTCTCTCCTCTCTCCTCCTCTCTCTCTCTCCTCTCCTTCGTCCCTCTCTCTCTCTCTCTCTCTCTCTCTCTCTCTCCTCTCTTCTCTCTCTCTCTCTCCTCTCTCCTCTCTCTCCTCTCTCTCTCTCTCTCTCTCTCTCTCTCTCGTCTCTCTCTCTCCTCTCTCTCTCTCTCCTCTCTCTCTCTCTCTCCTCTCTCTCTCTCTCTCTCTCTCTCGGGTCTTGGCCGGAGAGTGACCGGGTCTTTGGCTGCGCTGGAAGTGGTAGGATGTTTGTTTCTGTGTAATACAGTATTGCGTATATATATATATATATATATATATATATATATATATATATGAACATTGCGTACATGCTAATATATATATCGTATATATATATATATATATATATATATATATATATATATTGCGTATATATATATATATATATATATATATATATATATATATATATATATATATATATATACGCAATACTGTATTATACAGAAACAAACATCCTACCACTTCCAGCGCAGCCAAAGACCCGGCCACTCTCACCAATCTCATCTATGAAGATGATGCAGGGCTCCAGCTTGACGGCCAGCGAGAAGACGGCGGCGCAGAGCTTCTGGGACTCGCCGTACCACTTGTCCGTGAGGCTGGAGATCTCCAAGTTGATGAACCTGTTGAACACCGAGGCTGATCAGCCATTGGTGTGACGTCACACTGAGCTAAGGGTCAAACTCAGCTGAAAACGTGAGGAAAATGACACCCAATGCACGTTAGCTGGTGTGCCGCTTACTGCGTTCTCAGGGTATTTCCTCTGACAGACTGTTCCACCACACTGGTTACAACTACACCATAGCGGAGGAGGGGACACTAAAACAACATGGGGTACAGACTGGTAAACCTTATATTTAGTCCATCTGGTAAACGCTACTGGCATGACAACCTACAGCACCATCTAGTACCCTTCCGGTATGTTAACCTATACCACATCTGGTAAACTGGCCTCGCTGCATGCTCTCACATCTCCCATGCCTTGACACCAACCGCGTAGGTCATCTTCAGCCGACCCAAAGCCGGCGGAGAGGGAAGGTGGAGGGGGAGGGCGGGCACCCACCTGCAGCACGCCTCCCTCGCCGTCGCCTTGGCCAGCATGGTCTTGCCGCAGCCGGGCGGGCCGTGCAGCAGCACGCCCTTGGGTGGCTGGATCAGGGCGCTGCCCGAGAACAGCTCCCGGTTCTGGATCGGCAGGATCACCGTCTCCTGCAGCTCCTGGATCACGTGGTCCAGCCTGTGGCGACGATGGCGCCGGGTCAGAGGCGCCTGGAGCGCGCAGACTGGGGCGAGGGACGCCGGCACAGCGCTGATAAGCGCGTATGGCGTCACACATCGGGATGGGGGCGTGGATCGTACGGTCTGGTCTGGTGTGAATGGCCTGGTGTAAACGGTCTGGTGTGGATGGTCTGCTGTGAATGGCCTGGTGTAAGTGGTCTGGTGTGAATGGTCTGGTGTGAATGGTCTGGTATGAATAGGCTGGTGTGAAGCGTCAGATCAAGCGCGTAGGTGACATGGCCAGGTGTGGAGATCTTTTTCTCATCAAAAAGGGAACGCGACACACGCTATCACCTGCTCTTTTGGTCGCGCGCCAGCCAGTTGTAGCATCCCTCCTCCACCGCCTGATTAACTGCACGTCAGGTGGGCCACATCACCGCTCCATGCTGGCGGCACGTGCGCCTTGTCGTGCGTTGGGCGCCTGTCTCCCTTCCCCTACTCATTAGCCAACGACACATCAGCAGCCCGCGCAGCTGTGCACGTCGGACGCGCGTGCTACTCACCCCGCAATGCTATCCCACGACACCTGGATGGAGATGGGCTCCACCAGCTGACAGGCAATGGACATCTCGTAGTCGGTCAGCTGCACGCTCTTGTCCACCCCCAGACGCTTCAGCAGGCGCTCCGCCTGCCGCCGGCACGCACAGGTCACACGGGGTCACAGAGGTCACACGTGGGTCCCGGAGGTCACACGCGGGTCACATACGTCAAATGGGGTCACATTAAGGCCACATATGGATCACAGACGTCACATGTGAGTCACATACACCACACGGGGTCACACAGAGGTCACATGGGGGCACATAGAGGTCAAGTACAGGTCAGTGGGCAGCAGCTGATGTAACACCTGCCTCGTCAACAGGGCCTTGTACACGTGCGCCGACAAACCAATCCGTCGCAGGGCCCGCAATGCGTTGCTGTTGCGATCATTAGGGGCGGAGACACCGTGGAGGGGGGAGGGGGCGTGGCGAACGTTTCTCCCTTAGCTTTCAAAACGTCAGGGCATGTTCCCCGCAACCCTCGAGAGACCCAAAATTGTCGGACACGTGTTCTGGTAAAGCAAGTACAGGTGCAAAAATTCACATAGAGCGCTTAACGTACTCGACAACGCCATGAACACCAGAAGTTCTCGAACTTGGAAGGGGCGATTTCCATTTTATTATTATTATTTCCTTCCAGTCACCAGCCAATCGGGCTAATTAAAAATTTCAGAAATTCGGAGGCTCAGCCCGCCTCCCCTGGTCCCCACGCCTCTTACGCCAGTGTATCTGCTTAACGCGTTGTTGCCGACATGACGTTTAAAACGCAGCAAAAATATAGAGCTGAACAGACCATGCGCGAGCCCCTCGGTAGGAAGCGCATCGCGTTGCAAACGCCAGCGTATGCACTTCGGTTGCTAAACACCTCTCTCTCAAGCTTTTGTGCTGTTGTTCCACACGGGTGAAGCCCGCGAGGCGGGGACCATGCCCCATGTTTACGTGACACGTTTACGTTTACGTGTGGGACGTCGCCTTACTATCACTCTGACAGGAAGGGTGGGCGTTAACGCGCCAACCACTACACTATCGGCACCCTAGTTTCACGTAGGCCAAATTTGTTTGCTTTAACTTTGCCATGACTTCTCCGCTAACGTACGTATCGTTAAACGGAGGACGTGTGGCACTAACGCGGCGGAAAGCCTCATGCAGTGCTCTCAGTATCTGCTCTCACAGCAAGGAGGGAATATTTTACATGGGGCGTTCCACATTTCTATGGGGTTTTAAGCTGAAATAGCCATCTCGAAGACCTTTTAGTGCAGTTCACAACCATATCCGTCTCAAGACCTAAATCCCCCAGTTTCTGAACTACGCGTCCGCAAAAATGGGGAGAGTATTTCGGGGAGAGTATATAAAGGTCATCTTGGCATTCATGACGTCAAAGTATCGTCATTCAAATCCTGCTATTTCATAATCCATGCGGCGATCAAGGCCGAACAAATATCATGGCCGGGTCGTTCATATCTGACCTTCGTGAGCACGATTACCAGACATAACGGTCGTCAATTGGCTCTTGATCAATGTTGTGCAAGGCACGACAACGTCATCAGCGACGTATCGAGAAGCATATTCACTTGATCGCGAAACTGTGTTGTCTAGAGCAGTCACTTTACTTAAAAGTATACCCAGGCTATCAGTGGGCCTGATCCATCATATGTGATGCTTGCTTCAATATCTTCAAACGCGCAACTTTCCTTTCAACATGACTCCATTCGCAAGACCGTCCATCACAAGATACACGCGTCGCTCACCGCACTTGATGATTTTTTTAGTAGCCATGTGGTGAGTCAAATTTCGACCATGAGTCTTTAGTGCATCCCCACCTCCGTTCACGTCGGACGGCGACCCTAGTGAGGGGGGGGGGGGGGGGGGGGGAAGGGAGGGCGGAGGCACCTGTCACCTGCACGCCGTCCCTCCGCTGTTGCCAAGGCCGTCTGTGATAAACTCCGGCCCACGACAACGGATGCGACTTATGAACCCAAAAATAGCTGTCGTCTCCTCACACTGGCGCGCTGTTGACCTTAAGCATGGAGACTGTAGCTCTGCCAGTCGTGTTGCTTGATTTTGCTTTGGTGTCTTTGACATATCGTAAACAGGTTTTGCAGAATGGCGGCTTACGTTGCATTACGAGCTGCAAAAATCATTACCGAGCGGAGATGGCCCTGTGTTGCCCCACTCCGATCAGCTTCTTCGCTGCTGCCACCTGTGCCACCTGGTCCGTGAACGAGGTTCATTCCCAGGTGGTCTGATGACTGGTGACAAACTGCATAATTTGATATTATGACCTATGAGAGCTGCATCCTTTACAAACTGAAAGACCTAGGTGTTCTACTCAAACTACATGGATATTACAGTCCGTATATGGGCGGAACACTTCGCCCCTAGGGCTGGGGCTGTTTTGTATGGGGCGTAACCTACATGTTCATTTCGCTCGACGCGCTGTGACCTTTCAGTGATGGCGCCAATGAAAGTTAGGGGACATTCGAAAGTCAGTAAGCGACGCTCGCAGAGTGACATGTCGGCAGCATGACAAACAATGACGGCTAAGGTTCTCGCTGAGGCCTACAGGGCTGAACTGATCATCCATGGTTAGTCCCGCCGCCGTACCCCACAAACAAAAATACATACCGCCGCCGACGGCCACCATGACTGGAGGACGATTATTTATCGTGCGGCATTACCGTTGCCACACCCTGGCGGGAGCCAGCACCTACGACGCTTCTCGTCCCCAACGTTGCAAAATTTCCCCCGGTGGGAGTCGAACCCCGGACCTCTCGATCCGAAACCCGTCACCCCGCACGCCGCCGTCCGCCAGCCTCACCCTTTTCTTATCCTCCTGGCGGCGCCTCTTGGTCGGGTCCATCATGTCCACGGCCCACTTGACGCCGAGGTAGGTGATGGCCGACGCGACGGCGGTGCGCACGATCAGGCTGACTATCTCGGCCCGGTCGAAGGCGCGCGGGATGGAGTCAGACATGGTGGCAGCCTGGGGACGAGGGGCACGCGTGGTGGTCATGTGGTAACCCACTGTCTTAGCCTGGTCGGACACACACAGGATACACTCACACATGGCGACAATACGTGAATGTGACACTTAAGGTGGTCTGCCTATTCACCTTCAGCCCAGTTGAATGCGCATGGGTCAAGTCAGGCATGGTGATAACGTGCAGACAGCATGGTAGGTCCGGTCATTTGCTATTCCATTGAGATACATGTGGCAAAACTCTGTTAGCACATTAGGTGGCCGGCTGATTGGCTGTTCCATCCCAGCAGACCTAATGATAATCTGTGAACACTGCCCTTTTGCTTGTTCCAACACCTGTAGGTTGAAATCGGACATGGCCCCCACCTGCCCACGGTACACCCAATGCAACTAAGTCAACTACAATTATAATTTTGTGCCTAACATGATGCTTCATGGCACAAGGATATTTCATGTGCATGCAGTGCATGGGATGCAACCATGTGCATGTGAGACACATGCAGTCGCATGGGACACAGTGGCTATGTGTTAGATGTATCTTGCAAAAGGAGAAAAGAAGTGACAGAAGGTGTTGTCAATGACAAAAGGTACAGTCAGTCATCATAGAGCATATGAACAGGTGTGTATTACAGAAAGTGTGCAGCATGAGCTCGTGGGACCAGTTTGCTTCTATTGATTGAGGGCTTAACCTTTAAATATATTGCTTAAATAAACTGCCAAAAATAAAGCTGAGTCTTCTTCTTGACAAGCTTTTGTGGGTGTTTACCATGTTTAAGCTTGTAAAACTAGTAGAATTCAGCCAGTAACACAGCCTACATTCAGTTCCCTGAGACATCATCTGTATGCTGGACACCAATAACTTCTGGAGGAGGTGGTGGCCAGGGCATGATGTCACTGATTAGCATGCCACATTGGCTGGTTTATCACCACTTGCACTCTTCATGCACAGTCTATTTTCCATGGACATCTGGTCGATGTTAAGTGTGATGAAGCTATCCTGCCTGCACTAGGCACTGAGAATAGGTAAAATGCAGTTTCTAGCACATCTCAGTGTGTGAAAGCATTTTTGTCCTCCACAAAAAATGTGTGGTGGGGTTATGGCCTATAATTTTAGGCTAAAGTTAGAAATTCAAATATAAAAATTATGATACAAGCCTAGACAGTCTTTTGTCATGAACAGGTAGCCAAGTTATATGGAGAGGTTCACATTCATGTGGAGTTTTTAACTGAAATAGCTATCTTAAAGGCCTTAGATGCCATTCACAATCCTGTCTCTCTTAAGACCTATAGACATGGTATAACAGCCATCAATTGGCTATGAACCAACATTGTGCAACATATGATGACACAATCAAACCATGACACATTGACAAGCATATTTACTCAACAAAAAATAATGATATCTAGAGCAATCTTTTGCACTTAAAGGTACACCAATAATTAAAAGGGAGCTCGCTTTATCATATATCATGCTGGCTTCAATGTCTTCATGTGTCAAACATTCCTTTTACAGCTGGCTGGCCTCTTGACCCAGACTTGACTCTGAGGTAATGGCCTCACCTTAAAATTTAGCACAGTTAAGTTCACATAAGACCGTATTTCCCCAAACCATAGTGTTTATCTCAGGGGATTACAGCGAAACCTTTCCACCCAAAATTGTGATGCTCAAACAACCAACCGGGTCACGATCAGGCGAAAGGCAGTTAGTACTGCTGTTGGGCCCAACATGTATGACACGTTTCTCGGAAGCAAACCGACCGAATTATGGAAAGATGACGATTGAGAAGCTATACTGTTCCATACTATCTTGTTCTGTCATAGAATGACCGGCGTGGAGCATGACATTGCAAAGCTAACACCAACCCAAGTGCACTCCCAGCTAGATGATAGTAAACGGTTGATACTCACCCCAAAATAAAGCAATATGTGCCACTTCCAAACGCCCAGACGCCCAACACTGAATACTCTATCACACAAATATTCGCGATGAACCCGCCACCACGACGGACCACCCTTCAATGGTACTTCCCGGCATAGTGTCCAGCATTTGCCGAGATGCTCACAAGAAATGCAAAATGTCCAAAATAAATGATATTGCACCAAATTAGTTACACAGCACTAACAAAAATCTGCTAATCAATTAATTACAGAGCAAGATCCGTCACAAGTTTAACTGTTTCATGCCGTCATTTCAACATATTCGTTTGACACCAGCCTTCATTTTAGATCTAGATCAAAGGCTATGCTGGTTTATTACTTCACGTATTCTGAGACAAACAAGCTCAATTTGGGAAAACATACACTAAATTCTCACGGCTTGGTACTGTCGTTATGGCGTTACATTTGTCTCTACATCATAAAGCGCCATCATTATGCACCAATACAAACGTCATATTAAGTTTATTAAAATTGGCGCAAGGTAGATAATAAAATTTGGCTACAAATAAATTCATAGCCAAGAAATTAGTCTTTTTTGTTATTTCCAACAGAAACATGTCAAAGCAGTACCCTCTGTGCGGCACATTTATTTACGAATCTATGTGGTGTTACGGTGCAGAACCCTGGCGCTAAGACATCATTCAATGACTACGGCCAACATCCACAACCCGCTCTCAGTCGGTTGTATTCTGAAAGGGGGGAGGTCATGTCTCCTGTCGGTATTACGTGAGTAACGTGCGAGTCACGTGGCCGTTTTAGCAAGCGTAAGGGGCGGAGATTCCGGAGTCAAGCCCAAAATGCAGAACGTCTCGATGTGCCGTTGGCTTACTGGGGGCATTGTCGGCTTCAGATGGCTTCTACGTGAACCGCGGGCGCTGTGGGAACTTGTTCAGCTCTGAACGTGGCACTTGTTTCTCCTCAGTCCTTGCTGCAAACAATGGTTTGTGTGTGGTAGTCCGGACAATGATTCATCCTTTTGACAGTAGCTTGAATTTACATCAATGGTAACCAGGGGCAGATTCAGAACACCCTCCTGATAGGGAGAGGTTGCGGAAGGGGGCAACGCCGGCTTGGGCGGCAAAATGCAGAAAGGGTTTGGATTTTTAAAATCCCATAAAATCGGGCTTCCTGTGCTCTGAAAGAGCGTTCTGCGGTTAACTTACCTCCCTAAGATTTGCACAGATTGTCCTGGAGGTCCAGGAATATCCCTGATTTATCCTTCATGGTTACTCCCCCTCTGGACCTGCCTTAATGAACAATAGGCCCCCATTTTGTGGCAGCTTCTGCTGTTGGAAAGCAAACCTTAGTGTGTTTTTTTTACTTATAGTTGCAAATGTTCATATGATACATTTCATTGTGACACATGTTGCTACTAAACATGCATAATGATGTTGGGTATATGCATCAGCATGCTCAACCTTAGAAGTTTGGCTAATTTTTGCAACTTTCAGATGAATATATCTTTTCTTCTCAAGCATGCCCCTTTCTTGTCCTGTGATGAAATGTCCAGCAGAGCTCCTGATCCAGCAGCTTTTATATGCAACTGTAATGCCATTAGTGAGAGCCTGGATGGTGAGTTTGTACATACATAACCATTTCCTTTCTCTTCAGTGATGGAATCCTGTTTGGGATGGGCAATCCCCTCCTGGACATCTCTGCCCATGGTGACCAGGAGTTCCTGGATAAATATGGTAAGAAATGTAGATAAGCCAGCCTACATATATTTCTGTGGTGTCCTCTTTTATGCTTCCACTAAGTTAGGGACATTATTAATTGTGGTAGATATTCACCTTTTTTAACTGAACATACTGGCAAAGGCAGCATGCATATTTTGTGGATTTAATGGCCCATAGTTCAGTGCCTAAATCTAGACATTCACTGTGCCACACTGCATATGCTGTTGTGCATGAAACTACTGCGCACAGACATGACTGCACCTGTGCAGTAGTTAAAAGAAGCCATAACAGACAAAGCAGATGAAACATAAATCTAGTCTTCACCTCATCACATAGGGTTATCACGCAATTCCCCATCAAAATGCATCCACTGACTCCCATCAAGCAACAGCACCAACAGCATCACCTTCCATCAGGTCTGAAGGCCAACAACGCGATCCTGGCCGAGGACCAGCACATGCCGCTGTACGACGAGATGGTGTCCCGCTTCAAGGTCAGCTACGTGGCCGGCGGCGCCACGCAGAACGCCCTGCGCACGGCGCAGTGGCTGCTGAGCCGACCGAACGCGTCCACCTTCTTCGGTTGTGTGGGCCGGGACGCCACCAGTGAGAAGCTGAGTGATGCGGCCAGGGCCGACGGCGTCAACGTGGTGTACCAGTACAACGACAGCACACCCACCGGTGAGTGGTCCCGGGGCGGGGGAGTCCTGCGCGCGGAGAGAGAGTGATTCGGTGCGGCGCTTGGACTCCAGGGGCGGTGGCTGAACTCCGGGCTGCGAGTTAAAGGCAGCATTCCACATTTGTATGGTGTTTTTAAGTAAAATAGCCATGTGGAAGATCATTCGGTGCAATTCACAGCCCCGCCCTTCTGAAGAACTAAAACGCTCTAGTTTCTGAGCTACGCGTTCGCTAAGATGTGCAGACTCTCCCATGCAGACTATTTCAAGGTCATTCAGGAATGCGTGACGCCATAGCAACGTCATTCAAATCCTGCTACCCCATTGGCCATGCATCGTTCAAATGCATGCCACACCATTGGCCACGCAACAACCTTCAGTGCCCCTGGCCCCCCGGCTGCCGATGCTTCTTACGTAGAAGTGATCTGCGTCCGCAAACGACAGAACGCAACCAGATGCAGATGGCTGCTGCACGCGGCGTGGATTCCAATAGTCAACATGCTAACTACAACATACGCTACGGGCTTATATTACGAGGATCGATACGGATAGTGTTCACCTTCTTCACTTCCCGGTTCACTTGTTATGGTTCACCTGCTGGTACCAGCGAGCTTCCGTCGGCGTACGTGGGTTCTGGGGCGGGTCTGACGTGGCTGGCACTGGCGCTGGGACAGATTTTCATTGTGCGGTATGTAGGCAACGTTTGCTGGTGCAGGCAAAGGCGGTTGGTATGGCCAGCCAGGCGCGGCAGGAGAAGAGCTCTCGCCGTAGCATCGGAATACGGTGCCTCCGGTTCGAACCTCGCACACTGCTTACATTGCAAGGTCCCGTTGCGACTATCAGTGCGAGAGGCTTAGCCGAGAGGTTTAGCGTGTGTCCTTGAATAGTCTCGAGATTGGTTAGGTGCTGACAACGGGGATGATCCTTTGGGGCTAATAAGAGGACGCGTGTTCGATCCCTGCTGGGCGCTGTTTTTTTTTTTTGCCAAGCCGCCTCCTCCAGCTGGCGGGGCAGCGTAACGTTCGACAGATGTAGACGGATTCACCGGTCGTAGCGTCGATCGCAGGCGGCACCGCAGTCCCGTCCCTGCCCCACCACGCGCGAGTCGTGCTGGTACCATGGGGTTATGACCGTGGCCGCTCGCGCCTCCCCCCCCCCCCCCTCTCTTGTGACCGGGCCGGCCGGCGTGGCTCGGATCGGATTGGCCGGCGGTCCCCCTTTGATGAGCGGCTCGGAAGCTGCCGCCGCCGCTCTGGAAGAGGAGAGTCGGCTCTCCGGCTCGCCGCTGGCGGGAAATGCTCTGACGTCACAGCCGGCGGGGTACGGGTGACGTCACCAGGCGCTAGAGTGACGTCACCGGGCAGGATGACGTCACCTGGATCCATCGTCCGGAGTGGGGGATGTGTTTTCAGCTGTTCCACATGGTAAATGGTGCATTTTACTGGTCATGGACACCACATCCTAGTGGTGTAGGAATGGACCGGGTGGCGGGGCGGCGTAACCGTTGTGCCTTGTGGTGGTATGGATCGAAAATGTCGGCATTATCATCTTTGAAGGTCCCCAATCCTGGGTATAATCTTCGCTGGTCGAGGCCCTCCAAAGAGTGACGTCACGTGCTCTGTGTGCCCGCTGAAGCCATGCCAGGGCACCGCGGAGCCGTTTTAAGGTCGATTCAGACCGATCGGCGTCGATTCATTCAATCGGCACCATCCTCCCCTGTCCTCAACGAGGCCATACACCGCCTATGCATTAGGCAGGCTGGGTTCACCGGGGGGAATAAGACTTATGTCTTTGTAGTAATGGTTCTTTGGTTTCAGTTTCTTGTGCAGCAAGCTGGGGTATTTCCTGATTGGTATGATTACCATTCTTCTCAGATTTTTGTTCCAAACAGTTAACGGTGCAGTATTTCCGCAGACTTTAGATTTAATGGGTTTGACGAGAAACCACCGCGGTTTATTGATGATAGTATTAGGACGTTCCTGTAGGCCAGGGCTTAACGACGTGGCTAATTGGGGCAAAAGGTCCAACAGAGTCGCGCTACCGAACGCCCCCTCCCAATTTGTCCTCGTCGCCGTGTCGTGACCTAGTCCTGTCGGCGGGTCACGACGCCCCCCCCCCCCCGCCCCCCCCCCACTCACCCCCCCCCCCACCCCTCCACCTGCCGTGAACTGTCGATGAGTCGGCGGAATCTCTCGTTATACCCCGGCTGCTCAGTTCTCCGCCTCTCGGGAAGGGCCCGTGTGATGGGCCGCCTTATCACGCGGCCTCGGCGCTCGAGTGGGGCAGATCGTAACGGAGCGGGGCGGGGGCGTCTCGCTCGTGACGGTGCGCGCGCTCATGTGCCGCTGTTCTCGGCGGCGCCGAGCGAGCCCCCCCCCCCCCCCCCCCTCCCGGGGCTGTGGCCGCTGGCGGGCGGCGAGCGGCAGCATCGGCAGCTGGCTGCGGCCCTGGGCAGGTATATCAGTATTCAGCCTCGAATTCCCCCCCCCCCCACCCCTCCCCCAATCCTTACATTGGACAAGCCGCTTCGTCCAGTCATCAACGTCAAGTCACATGACACAACGTACACGCGGAGAACACGGCGTCGCGCACGGGGCGTGACAACATGAGATTAGAGTCCATCTGTCACCAATATTGGGCCCAACTGAAATGCACTCCGCTTGTTCCGCGCTCGAGCGAGTCGATGTGGCGACTCTGACAGCTGACATGAAGTTCAGT